AGGCAATTACTATGGTAATATTGCAATTCAGCATGTGTGAGGTTTGGGAAATGAGAAATTATGGGTAACTACTTTGGACTCATTTCTATGGTAACAAAAAGTAATTGTCATTAAATACCAGTTATACTGAGGCTGTACCTGGTAATTATAGATTTTTATGCCCTGAAACATAAATAAAACCAATAAATTTATTCAAAGGTCTATGACTGTTTACTTATATGTGGCTCTATGGAATACACAACGACAAGCACCTAATTAAGAAATGCAAACCCAACACAGAGTTTCATATTGTCATATGAAGATGGAGAGCCTGCTTTTCAGATGCAAGGCAACTTGTGCATTACAAATGCTCAGAATGCGCAGTGGGGTTCAGGAGAGGGTGGGGCCTGCTTTCCTGCAAAGGAAGCCATAGGGAGCAGGAGGTAGCGGAGAGAGCGTGCAAATGCTGCACCGTGTGATCTTAGCCTTGCCGTCTGCAAGACACTGTAAATTGTTAATCAGTTCTAAACTGATTCAGCCCATCTCCCCAATACCCCAGTGACCTTCCATAGGGGTTGCCTTTCTGCTTCTTGGCTCTGAAGTACCTGAAGTTGTATTATCCATCCCTCAATGCCTTAGGGCCCAGGTCTCCCCAGAACTCTTTAAGACTGCTCAGATTGCAAAGCCAGTGGCCATGCCATTCTTTTCTTTTCAAATGTGATAAAAGGAACTTAACACAAAATTTACCATCTTAACCACACGGTTCGGTAATATTGAATACATCCATAATGCGGTGATCCAATTACCACCACCCATCTCCGAAACTATACCTATTCACCTCACACTCATTAAACAATAACTCCCTGTTGTTCTCTCCTCTCTGCAGTCCCTGGTATCCTGCCTTTCTATCCCACTTCCTAAGTGAATGTGACTTATTTGAGTACCTCACAGTAGTGGAATCATATAGCATTTGTCTTTCTGTGACTGGCTTTTTTCACTTAGCACAATATCTTCAAGGTTCACGAGTGCTGTACTCATACTGTTCTTGAGAAAGCCTCTCCCCAGAACTTTCATCACATTATGCTCTTCCAAGAGGGCAGGAAGGAAACTGAGGCTTGGAGAGAAATGTACCCTGTCCAAAGACAAACAAGAACCTCTAGTACCTGATTCTACCTAGAGTGAAGGCAGCGTGTGGGAATGCAGAGTCCCTTAAGGCCATAGGCCTTAAACATGGTTTGTCACTTTTTTCAGCCTCAGCTTCTCCTTTGTTCAAATGGATATAATAAAAACTTGCTTTCTTTCCTCAAAGAGCTCTTGCAATGATCAAATGTGGTTTGAAAGAGCCTCTAACAGTGCATTTCTCTGTACAATAACAAAATATGGCTGAGTCAGTTACTCTGGTAATTCACAACAGTCTATAGTCTGTTAAATCACAACATCAGCTCATCATGTTAAGTCATAGCAGTACTCATGTCACAACAGCATACGATTGAAATAACTGGAGTTAGGAAGCTATGTAAGTGAAGATAAAGGGTTGGATGCTGACAGCATCTGGTGATAGTTACTGTTCTCTGGGGATTGTAGCCTTGTGCCATAGCATAAGCATTTATTCATTTAGAAAGTAGGGGGGCTGGGGATTTAGCTCAGCGGCAAAAGCGTCTGCCTGGCAAGCACAAGGTTGTGAGTTCGGTTCCCGGTACCGGAGAAAAACCAAATCATTTAGGAAGTAGGACCTGCAGGAGTGTAGGACAATAAGGAGGAATAGGGGCTCACTCAGGCAGACTTATACCCATGCCTACTCCTCACAGGGCACAGGCCTAAGGCAGATTCCTTAACTTCTATGAGGGACTGCACAGCAGGAGGGAGTTGGGGAATGAAAGCCACCGGGCAAAGAAAGGCAAAGACATGGCTGCCTACCTTTTGACCTACATCTGGCCAGTGACTTGATCAGTCCCCATGAGGCCTGGCTTTGTTTGCTGCCCTAGAATTTTCAGACATGTCCTTCCCTTCTTCTCCCTTTCCCTCCCTCCCTCCTTCCCTTCTTCCTTTTTTATCCTTATTCCCAGAAACTTCCCTCCTCTAGTCCAAACAGTCTAAGTAGGTGTTTATTATTTACAAGCAGAGAAACCCTACCAAAACCCCTCCTTCACAGTTGTCCTGAAGATTCAGTGAAAAGTGTATAAGCTCTGGACAGGCTGACAAGTAAGTGACAGAACTTTTGAAGTGGTATTTCCAGCAATGTATTTTATAACCCTAACATGAAGAGTAGGTTGGGTGGGCTATGGCGCCTACCTTTGAGAAATACTCAGTACTATGTTCCCATCTTGGGATTCCCTGTGTTTACCAGCATATTAAAAATTCTAAAAAATCTTATAGTAAGAAAAAATTTGTCTTCATATTATGTTTTATGTCTGGATGTCCCCGCAAACTCCATGTGGTCATGCGGGGCAAGCTTTTTGGATGCTGCTGAGTCTAGAATTAGTGATTGGCTCATTGTCTAGTGCTGGGATTGGCAGTGTGAGTGCTACACCTGCTCTAGGGTGGGTAGCCAGTGTACAGTATAAGGGAGGAAAAGAGGCTTGCTCCTCCCCTTTCACTCTTGCTGCTTTTGCTGTCTTCTGCTGTCATGAACAGTTGTCCCTCAGCTACACCAACCTGCCTTGGAGCCAGCTGAGTATGGACTGAAACCTCCACAAATTGTGAGCTAATTAAACCTTTCCACTTTAACTTTGGCTGTTGGGTATTTTGCCTCAGCAAGGAAAGAAAAGTAACCAAGGCACTTCACTTAACTTGGAATATCTCAAACTTATTTGAACTCTGAATTCTTTTCCCCCATTTAATGCCTTAGTAAAGTCTCACCAAACCCTGGAAACCTGGAAATACTGATACAGAGAACAGCAAGGCTTTAAGAAGGGCTAGCCTGCAGGACCTCTAGGGCACCTTTAAGCTCTGAATTCTGAGTCTTTATTATTATTTTTCACATTCTCCAGAGCTGTAGTAGTGAATTCTCATGATTGATAGGCTTTTTGTTGCTCCTCAGAGCTGTTTTAGCAACAGGATTTAATGCCTATAGTTAGAGATTTTTCTCCAACTCTCATAATGAGCAAGAATCACATATTCTCACTGGAGAATGCTGGGGTTAGAAACTGCACGATGAAAGCATTTCTGAGGATCAGAGCTCTTTATCCTGAAGCCCCCAAATCACAAAATCTGGAGCTTAAAGACATGTAGAAAGCACCTATTCTCCAGTTGCCATCCCACTGATCATCTGAAGCCCAGAGAGGGAAGGCAGTTTGGTCAAGGTTACAAACCTATTTGAAGTTAGTGCTTCTCTGGACAGCAGATGATGACATAAATAAGTGTGTGTAGTGATAGTATTGAACTCTCCCTGACCACTGCTGCCCTTATAATTAAACAGAAATGTTACCATAAATCAAATCAAATGGTCTTTCCACTACCCTTATCACTAACAGTGCCTTCTGTCTAGGAGAGGTGGAAAGGCTTTACTCTCAGGCCTGCAACAAGCCATAAACCTTCAAATGCTAACGAACCATCACTTTAGCCAATTAAGACAGGAAGCAAAATTGTGTTTAATGAAGGTTTCATGCATCCCATGGGTTCTCTCTACTTCATACCCAGGGGTACCAAGGAGTCCCTCTAGACCCAATTTCCACATTTGGAAAGCAGTAAACCAACGCTTTGTAAAATGGCACTGTCTGGGTGTCAGAAATCTTGGTTCTGGTATGAGTTCAGCCAAGGATCTTGGGTAATTCCCATCTTGTCTCCAGGCCTCTGTATCTTCATCAGTAAAGTCATCACTTTGATTCACTTCTAATCCTCAAACATTTTCTGAGCATCTACTATGTGTTGATCCCTGTTATGAGACAGTAGGGGTATTGAGACCAATAAGGTTCAGTTTCAACCTTCTGGTAGCTTGAATTGCATCATGTCTATGAAATGGGATGACTTGCTCAATAATTTAGCTTGTAGGGAATCAGAGAAGGGAGTGGCCAAATCTGTTTGGAATTTCAGGGAATGAAATAGGACATAAACTGAGTTTCAAGAGAGCTAGTGCAGAAGGAGGGATGAAAAGTTTCTGGGCAGAGGGTCAGTTGTATAAAGGTGAGAGAGTAGGTACCAACAGTTGGGGCACTGTAGATAGAGCAACAGTCTCAGGATGGGAGGCCAAGACAGAAGACAGAATAGCGCACATATGCTTTGCATACAAAGCTTTGCATACAAATCTGGGCAGTTTGGATGTTACCCTGAAAGTTGTGGGACTGATCAGCTCTAAAGCTATATAATTTGGGTGGTGGAGTTAGTTGATGATTTACTGGCTATGTGACTTTGGGCAAGTCAGTAACTTCAAGGGTGAAATAAGGATATGACACTACATACCTCAAAGGATTCAGTGTTCCTTTGGCAGAGGATCAACTGGGCAGTGGAATTTTAGGCTCTAAATGATGGTGTGCATATAGGAGAAAGACCATCCAGGATATGAGTATATGAGTCCACACCAAGGAGAGATGTTGTTCATATGATCTGAGTACCACTCTCCTTCATTAATAATCTCCAAGAAGGAACACAGCAAGAAAGCAGTGGTCATTATAACTGCACATGAGATTCTGCAAATCACACTATTGGTACCATGTTTTTTGATGCTCACAATTGTCCTGCCAGACAGTTATTGTCTCCATCATGCAAGAGAAACTGAGCATCAGAGAAGGAAAGTGATTTCCCCAAATTTACATAGAAAGTAGGTATTAAAACTTACACCAGTTGTCCTGATTCTTGTCCCAGCAAGCTGTCTAAAAACCTCCAGCAAGTGACCACAGGTGGCTATGCATTAAAACAGCCAGTGCTTATTAGCACATTCTTAGGAGCTAAGGTACAATGACCTTTAATTAATTCATGAAATAATCTGAAGATTCTTTTTCAAAAGTTTATCCCACATTTGTTTCAGGCTTCCATACCAGCATTCTGTGGCTGTCTGCTGCCAAGCATTCTCCTCAGTCCCTCACCTGTAATTGCCCAGGTAGACGCCATCAGGGTTGAGCATCGGTGCAATCTTGAAGACCAGGTGTTCTCGTAGGATACAGGCGATAGGGTGGTGGCTTACAAGGAAGTCAATGATTCCTATGGAGACAGAAGTGTCTGGGTTAATCTTAAAGTATTTTTAAGAACACAAGGAACACATTTTTCTCAGCTTGGGAAATGGTACGAATCAAAAATCAATAGGTGATTTTTGGCCTGTCTTGTTACCAGCTATTATGGTTATGTGGCTACGCACTAGGTGTTACCAAGTGAATTTTGTAAATATATCTCTATTTCCAAGAGACACATAGCTAGAGACATAACACAAAGCCCAGGAACAGACAGGAGGAAGACAGCATTTTCTTCCAGCAAGAATAGTGGAGGCTTCCAAGAAAATGTGGCATTTGAGGTGTGCTTTGGAGGACCTAGATGACAGCTATGACTTCTGGAATGTGCCCTTAACACTGCAGTGAAAGAGCTCTTCCTAATGTGAAAATCTGATCCTATCATTCCCTCCTTGGTATCCTTTTGGTGATGGCGTGCACATATCTGCAGGAGAAGGGGTGAGAAAATCAACATCTTTGAGCCCTTGTTTCTTCCCTCTTCTTGTTTCTGTTTTTTCTTTGGAGACACACAAAAAAGGATCAAATGGTGCTCAGGCAGTCCATAAAATTAGCCTAATACTAGAAAGTGATGGGAGAGGGAAAAACCCTCCCAAAATGCAGGTTCTGTTTTCTGTTTGATAGCTCAGGCAAGGCCTGGAGGAGCTTTTGAATTGGGGTTGATAGGTAGGTCTGACAGAAAGGCAGAAGGCAGCAGGGTAACTAAGAACAATCCATGGGCCCAGTGGCAGGCATTTAGCTCCTGGAATGATAAATCACTCTGGAGCACATTCCAAAACTGCTGTGACCAGTGAGGGACATCTCAAGCTTTTCATTATGCCAGGCTTGAGAATCCATCGGCAGCTGAGACCCAGTTGGACGTCATTTACTTCACGGCTGATGCTGCAGTAGACCAGATGCCCTAATTTATTTGTTGGTCCTCATATTAAAGTTTCAGTTTGCCAGTAAACAGGCAGGGTAATGATGCCAGCAGCCCTTGTTAGGGGCTAATAATTGCTTAATCTGTCCACTAATTGACCCCAGCTCCCAGGGCAGCCCTCCATCAAGGAGCCAGCCTATGTTTAAGGCCTGGCCACGCTGCCTCAGAGAATGGCTTCTGGAAGTGGAATAACGCATTGTGATCCATCCTCCTTCACAGATGAGTAGATTAATTGGGCTGCCAATTAGGCAGCTATTAAAAGAACGAGAGGAAACAAAGCCAGACCAGAGGCTGCAGTTACCCAGATATTCCTCTCCCAGGTGGATGTGGGGCAAGGAGAGGGGAGGTTTTAGAGTCATCTTTCAGCTTGAGGTCAGACACAATTCAATAGGAATCATTCCCATTGATCAGGAAATGGGAGAAGATCTTTCTTTCTCTTTCTTTCTTTGTTTTTTTGGTGGTGGGAGAGGGTACTAAAGGGACAAGAATATGAAAAAGAATGTGAAAGAAAGTAAGAGCAGAGAGGAAATGTTATCCTTGGCTGAGTCAAAAGCATTGCATGGCACAGGAAAGCAGAGGGATCTAGAGAACAGAAACACTTAGGGACTTATATTTGAATCTTAACTAATTATTAGCTGGAGAAGTTGCTTGTAAGTGCTCTCTGACCAGTTTTGCCATCTTGATAGAAGGATAATTATACTAACCAGAAGACTGCTGTGTGACTGGGACAGAGCTCTTACATGTTGCCTGCCTGACACACTGCCTAAACACCTTGATGAGACTTGCTCAGAGCAAATGTTGAAAAGCAATGGGGTAGTAAAAGCAGCAGTAATTCTGGAAGTAGAGGGCCTGGCTTGTTAGGTTTACTAACTATGCAACTTTGGGATAAGGACATTGAATTGGAGAAATCAACAAATCCAGAGAACCTAGGTTTTAGTTTGAGTTTAGTTACTAGGTATGAACAGAAAGCCTCTGTCCCCAGTCTGTTTAAAATTAGGAGAGAGAATGGTAGAATAAAGACTGACAGCACAATATAGCTTCTTTGGGACCTGGACTCATGACACCTAAAAAATTACAATTTGGTGAAGAAAACAAAAAAAGAAGTAGATCTCTGGGAATCCGGAGAGCTAATGGGAAAACTAGAAACTACAGAGAATCTGGAGAAACAGAGCATAACCCCAAAATTAAAGCAGCCTGGAAAGTTAACCCTAGCATCTAGGGGAGCAGACCTGTCCTCATCAACACGAGGCAAGTCCAGAGAGGATCGGCAGCTCCAGGGAGAAATAACAGATCAGGCCAAATATGCTAGCCCTCAGAAAAGCCCAGAATTATGGTAAATTATAAAAGCAACATGGGGTTTAATGCCATGAGAGTAATGCCTTCTGCATGAGAGGTTAGAGTTGGAGAAGAAATCCAGTACAGCACCTGCCATATTTGAGAGTGTTTAATCAGGAGCCATTTTTCGAAGGGGTTAATTAAGACTGAGCTACAGAACAACTACATTTCAGCATTTCTGTGGTCACCCTACAACAGTGACTGGGTGGGAGATGGCCACAGGTTAGCTGAAGAGAGGGCACAGGCTAGGCATAGAAGTTTAAGATCAGGCTGGGAAAGACACAGGACTCCTGCTTTCCGTGGTGGGAAACCAGGCTGGCTGTGTATGCCTTTAACAGGGCCTGGGTCTCAAAGGACTAGCATTACAACCAGTGGATGGCTTCGTCCTTCTTTTTCTATAACCATCAGAACTCAGTGGTATGTTTGCTTTCTCCATCTGCCAGTGCGATCAGGATTATGACTCAGCTTGGACAGTTGCCACAGCCTAGGGTGCACAGACAGAGGGGCTACAGTGGTTGAGGGGGGAACCTCACAAACCTATTGGCCATACAACTAGGTGAAGAAAACCATGGCTTTGGGCATACAGAGGGACATGGAAAAGGAAGTAGTTGCAGAGAATACAGTTCTTTATTAGACACCACTGACCAACAGTGCCCAGCAGGAAAGGCAGGGCAGGATTCAGTGTGTATACACAAAAATACAAGTGTAGAAACAAAATAGTCTTAGTAGTGACTCACTCTCCTGTCCCTGTATCTGATAGATTCCAATACTACAGAACCAAGAAAAAAACCACTCATTCAAAAGCATGAAAGAAGTTTTTAAGACTCATTTCTCTTTTTCTTCATTTTTTGGGGGGCTTTTGTTTCTTTTTTCTTCTTTATTTTCTTTCTTTTTTGTTCATTTTCTTAATTCTTCTTTTGTGTTACTTTTATCTAATTTTACTTTTATTTAATTCCTTAATATAATACTTTGTCTCAATTTTCTCTCTTCCTTCTCATTTTCCTGTTTTTATTTTTCAAATTTTACTTATTTTATTCTTCCACTTCCCACCTCCATCACTCTTACCAGTATTAAATTTTATTAATCTTTATATACTTTGTTGATTCTACACTTTTATTACTGAGAGTTTTTCTATTGGTAATGGTAGTATAGTCAATGAATTTAGTAGACATTTACTGAGTCAGTATTTGGTTCATCTTTTTGTCCATATTATAATTACAAATTTCTTTTGTAAAAACTACAGTGGTAGTTTTTATTCATTCTTAAGGTATGTAAATAGTGTTTGTTTCTGAATTTGTAATTGTTGCTAATTTTATTGCTATTGCCAAGGTAGCAAGGTTTTGCTATTAATTAGTTTTTACTATATTTGAATATCTAGTTTGCCTTTGCATCATCAATAATACTGAGATTCATTTCCAGAGAACTGGGTGCTAGACCAATTACACTGCACCCTCTCCTCTCCAAATTTTTTTTTTTATTTTAAAGATAAAAGGAGGGAAACATTAACAGACATACAACATTTTACAACATATCACAAGCACAATACAGACAATACAGAGTTACAAACAAAGTGGTAGGGTCTCCTCTCCAAATTAACAGAGGTATTTGGATCCTATTATAGATCAGTCTTGCATTCTTACATCTGGTAATCTGAGCAACTTCGTTGGAAGATAACAATATGTAATATGAAAAGCACTGTTAATTCCTATCATTTTGTTCCAAAACCCTGTATCATTTTTATTGTTTTTGCTTTGTTTTGTTTTTGTCTATGTTGTTGGTGTTTTGCTATTGTTCTTTTATTGATTATTATTATTATATTCTTTTCAGAATAAAATAAAATTATATATAGAGTAAAAGATCTATAGCTCACCATGCCTGGAGCATGTCAATGGAAAGAAGACAGTAACAAAAGAGATCTCCATACTAACAACAAAATCTTTCCACTATAATCAACTTAAAACTCTCAGTGCACTCTCTCTCTCTCTCTCTCTCTCTCTCTCTCTCTCTCTCTCTCTGTCACACATACACACACACACGAAATATGAGAAAACAAGCAACAAAATGCCCCTAAAAACTCCTGACTTCCCCAAAGCAGATCCACTGGTCACTGATGGTGAAAAAAAGGAAAGCCAAACAGTTGAATTACACAGAGTGATAAAGAAGAGACAAAAACCAGATCAATAAGTTGCTTGCTGTGCTAAAAGATGATATAGCTAAATAGATAATGGACTTTATAAACAAAACAAACAGTGAGCTTACAGAAGACACTAATTAAAAGCAAGGTTAACTAAACAAAATGATACAATGTGTGAATGACCAGTTTAGCAAAGAAAGTTCTCATCAAACATAAGAATTAATGCCAATACTGAAACTCTTTAAAGAAATTGAAAGGGAAGGAGTACTACTAAACTGATTCCTACAAGCTAGTATTACCTTGATTCCAAAATCAGATAAGGAGTTATGAAAAAATAAAACTACAGGCCAGTCTCTTCACTGAACATAGATGCAAAATCAACAAGATACTGTCAAACGGAATGCAACAAATCATTAAAAAGATCATACATCATGACCAAATAGACTTTATCTCAGGGATGTAAAGATGCCCCAATCTATGAAAATCAATAATATAATATATCATATAGGTAGAAGCAAAAGGAAAAATCATGATCTCAATAGACACACAAAAATACCTTCGACAAAATCCAACATCCATTCATGATTTTAAG